GTTAAACAAATGAATTAAAATGTATACAAAAAAGTATATAACGATTGCTTTAATATTATTAGTAATAGAAAGACAAACATTATAATACTTTCTCATTTGCCGTCAGCATTCAGCAAACACGCATTATATCATTTAAATAAATCTTTGAATGACTAATGAACATTTCATTTCACAAACCTTGCAGCCTTAGTCAAATCTAGTTGAGACCTTGTGAAGTGTGCATTTGTATCCTGCATGATCGCGTGTTGTTCTCTGGGTGATGGTCGATCCGTGCAAATTGAATGCTGACAGGAGGAGAGTTCAGCTTCACTGGAGACGCGTGATCGACAAACTTTAAACTAGTGATTTCAAATTAGGCTGCGCTTTATGCAGTTGCCCACTGTCATATTCATGTCATTTTCATTGCGTGCTGTATGTAAAATGAGTGTTACCTTGGCTTTATTTGAAAAAAAAAAAAAAATGATTCACACAAACTTCCCAGAATACTGAGTGCCCTGTTGTTTACCGTGTTTACTTCCTTTTTAATTAGATTTTGATTAAATATTTATTTATTTGTGAAAAATGCTTTGTCTTCTAAAGTATAAGTATGTTTATTTTACACAATTATTTTTAATCCATTTTCAAATGATTTCAAATTTCTTAAATATAAATTAAAATAAATACAATTATATCGGCTTTATATCGGCCACCCTGCTTTCCAAGATATCGGCATCGGCATCAAAAAACCCATATCGGTCGACCACTACTTCTAAAGTCATCTCTGGCTGTGGCAAGAGCTAATCAGTTAACCTGATTAAGGAACTGATCAAATTAAATCATTTCTGTAAGTGAAAATAATAAAATAGCCAATACATGGGAGGATACGTCTGCGGAATTTGATGCCGCCCCTGAGACTTTTATCAGCAGGAAAGTGTTTGCTGGAGAGCCGTTTTTAAAAAGGCACGCTTATCAAAGAATGCTTTGTGTAATTATGAAATGTGTCTCTGGTTGATAAAGCTGTTAACAAGAATGCCACGGTCCCGGCAGAAGGCAGCAGTTGTGTGTATATTACCTATTTATTTTGATGTACAAGCAGCAATAGCCATTTTACTTTTAATCTGTGATATGAAATATTACACCTGCACGGGTAATGAGCTTCAGAGATCATCATAAATCAGCTAGAACTCGTTTGCTTATGGACACCCAGTGGCGAATGCTAGGCATCATACAAACCCAGCCTTAGTACATAGTAATTGGTCTTTTATTTGTCACAACGGTTGTATTCTAAGAGAAAAACCAGCAGCTGTATATATATTGCGTATTTATTTTGGTGTACAGGCCGTGATAGTCATTTTACTTTTAATCTGCACAGATAATGAGCTTCAGAGATCACCATAAATCAATCTAAACTCATTTGCTTATTACCATGGATGCACGTCTGCAAATCCAACTGACCACTCAGGTTAAGAGGCTTTGCACCTGTCACTTGCGTAATGCCATTAAATCACAAGCTACAATTAAACACAATTACAGATAATAACAGCGGGCGTAAAAGCCCATGTCAAAGCTAACGGATTGAAGGTTTGCAGGGTTTGGGGACGACTTCAGTGCCCTGTTGAATCTGTGCAAGCGCAGATGTTGGCTAAAGTGGCCGGCACACTCAGTCCGCTACGCTGATCATCATAACAGCATCATTATCATTGCGGCTTAACAGCCTCTTAGTCAGGCCAGGGGCGGCCTTCAGAGCCTATTTGAAAGCCTTTCAATTGTTGTTTGGGGTACAGCATGAAAGGCTAGTGCTAGAGAGGTATATATAACCACAGACCTCAAGCCTAATTGTAAATTGACTGGTTGTGACAATATCAAAAAGCTGTTGTGGAGAGAATAGCCATCTAATTATGTGATCACATTGGTGGGGAATGCAGGAATTATAACTCCAGGGCTTTTTCACCATGAATACAAGCCAGGCAGGACAGGGCTAAGGGCTCTTGGCGCGGATATGCCTGATTTCCTTCGTATTTTACCAGAGCAACTGACCCTGAACCAATTTGTGTGTTGGAAGAGTACATCTGCAAGGCAAATTCTATTTCTAGCCCTTCTCCATTACTATTACCCGAAGAGGACATCTTTACTTTGGAGTGCTTGCGGTGAGCCTCTCCTAGTGGATGATTCCAGGTCAGTTGTTGCATCCCGGTGACAATATAGACACTCTTTTCATTTGCATTCGTATGCCCGCAGTTGTTACCGCCATATATAAGCAGTGCTAGCACCGTTACACTGGTTTTATTTTCAGCTCCTGTCTCGACCTCTTTCACCGACACTATAATAGAATTTGCATTGCTCTGACATCTCTATCAGTGACACTGTTCGCTGCTCTCACTCGCCCACCACCAGTCCAAACTCCCCAGCACTTGCCGCCTTTAATTAATCTCAAATCATACTACTCATCTTGTGTTAAAGGCTTAATTTGTGTGCTTTGCAGAAATCCTATTCTGGTGTCATGGCGTGGATAATCCGGCCATGGATCACAGTTACAGTAAACACAGAATGTTGCTCTCCAAAACGCTGATTTTGGAAGGACAAGTACATGTGTGCTATCCTTTCCCCCAAGCTGGAACTTTTAAACATCCCATCTCTGCTGGTTAATAATCGATAGGCAGCCATAATGCTTCCCCAGCCAACACTGTATAATTGAACATGGAAATAAAAGGTCACTGCACAAAACATTGGCTCAAATCCTTTCTTTTGGTGTCAAGGCCTGTGTAAAAACAACAGTTTCCGGTACTAGATGCACTACTTGCGTTTCTTGTAATGTCATGAGCCTTGGCACACCTTTGTGTCTCTCAGAGGGTTCGAAGGATATGACCTTCACACTTAGAGCCTGACCTGTGCCCATTGGCACAGTCTACAGTGTCTGCTTTTCTCTGCCAGCATGTGAGTCACATCAGGTCAAAGAAGTGAGAGGTTTTCCCTCTGCCTTATCCATCCTTGTCTTTACAACAGATCCATTGAAGAGTGTGAAGGCTTGTGTTGGCCTACAACAGCAGGCATCAGCCACACTGGATTCTGTTGAAGAGCAAGAGGGCTGAATTGTCAAAATCTATTGTGTGTTTGTGTGTCAGCTGTCTCTTCGAATTGACCGTAAACAACTATGGAGGAACCGGGGGTGAAATGTCACCAGTGCTTGCCCCGATTAAACGGCTCTGTCGCTAGTGATGTAGACTCGGATCTGTAGGACTCGAATTATATGTATGACGGTGTGAGCAACAGCTCAGTGTGCGCTTTGCTATGATAATGTTTGATTATCCCTCAGCAAGTCCCCTTGAGGGTCCCTGAAGGGAAACAGGTCCTAGCCAAACTCGACTTGGCTACTTGTTCATTCCAGGCCAAGTTGGTTCGTCCAGAAACTTGCTTCTTAGCAACTTTTGAGTAGGTTATTAGCATCCGAATATCCACTGCTCGCCTTTAAACTTTTATATGTTCACCCCAACAGAGTGCCTACTTGTTTATGCCAGGCCAAGTTAGTTCTTCCAGAAACTTGCTTCATAGTAACTTTCGAGTAGGTTATTGCCATCTAAATATCCACTGCTTGTCTTTATATCAGGGGTCTCCAAACATAGTCCTGCAGAGTTTAGCGCCAGCCCTAATTAAACACACCCGAACCGGTTAATCAAGGTCTTACCTGGGCATTCTAGAAACTTCCAAGCAGGTGTGTTGAGGCAAGTTGGAGCTAAACTCTGCAGGACACTGACCCTCCAGGACTGAGTTTGGAAACGCCTGTTCTATATGTTCACCCCAACAGGGGGCCTATTTCATTCTGGGCCAAGTTGGTTATTCCGGAAACTTAGCTTAGTAGAAACTTTCAAGTAGGTTATCATCATCTGAATGTTCACTGCTTGTCTTTAAACTTCTCTAAAGTTGCTTTCGCACCAGAGGAACCTTTCCATAGTTATTTTTGGCCTGTTCGTACCACAGGAACTAGGAACGTATTTAGTTCTAGGAACTTCGTTTAGGGGAACTAAATTAGCTCCTACTTCAGAGTAGGGTCTAAAACAATTCTATAGGAACTACCAGTGACGTAAGTGTATGCTGATTGGCCAAACGCATACAAAACACCGGCTACCCAGCATTTTTAAAAAGCTGTGTAAAAATATTTACTACACGAACATGAAAACAGCGATAATAGCAGCATGTCTGCAGCGTTGTGTTCTTTTCTCAGCCTCTATGATAACATTGCAAATTGTCATAGGAGATTTCGTCAGATTTTCGTGCTCTTTCAATTGTGTAAACTGTGCATTTACATAACATCTCCATTGTCATGAAACCCACGGCACACAACAAAAACAGCTCCAAACATGGCGTCCTCCATTCACGAGTTTTTGACGTTTGTAAAAGCCGTGAATAAAGACGTCGCTGTCAGCCACTTCAGAGTTCCTACTGCTGGTGCGAATGCAACCAGGAAAATGGCCCAAGGAAGAAATTGGCTCTCTAGGAATGACCCTGCTGGCTAGTTCTTAGAACTGAGTTCCTAGAACTACGCTTAAGTTAAGTTCTCCCCTACAGAGGGCCTACTAGCTTATTCTAGGCCAAGTTGGTTCTTCCAGAAACTTGCTTAGTAGGAACTTTTGAGTACATAACTGGTACCTAATGGTCCACTGCTTGTCTCTAAACTTTGCTATGTTGTCTCCTACAGAGGACCTACTTCCTGCTGGCTTCCCCAACATCGACATGGGCCCACAGCTGAAGGTGGTGGAGCGCACGCGCACGGCTACCATGCTTTGCGCCGCGAGCGGTAACCCCGACCCGGAAATCACCTGGTTCAAAGACTTCCTTCCCATCGACCCCAGCACAAGTAACGGACGAATAAAACAGCTCAGATCGGGTAAGATGAAGGGATGCACTTTAAGCCCTACTGCTAATGTTCTTCTGCTTCTGTATCAGTGATTGTAGGTACCCTGCTCTCTTCCAAAACAACCACCCACAGAGTTAGCGCTATAAGTTGCTAGGGAAGCTGAAATGGAAAGATAATGACTTTTAATGAACTGTGTTAGAGGAGCTTAGTCCAGATTTTGTGGCAAGCGTATGATTAATGTCTGGTTTAGGCTAATGAAACTTTATTGAAAGACCCAGTAAAACAGTCTAATTATATATCTCATTAAGTCTAGCGCTCCAGTCGCCCCAAGGCCACCGTTGTGGGTCAGTGATTCGTCAGCAACAGAGAAAAGAAAAATCTATCGGGTTGCATTTGTTTCGGAGCTGTTGACGTAAATCAGTATGGGCAGCAGATACTCGGCTGGCAACCCTTGACCTGAACTCGCTTACCCAGAGTTTCCCTTTTCACGATCCATCATGGCATTTTCAAAATAAAGTTTCAGATTCAAGCAAAGTGGTTTGGCGGTGAGCGGCTACATCTGCTCTCGCTTATGCTAGACTTGAGTGCTTTGTTTTGTGCTGTGTTAATGGACGACCCAGACTCGCCGAGGGGGTATCACAGGCCTCTGTGACGTCGTTGGCAGTGGTACAGGAGCACAAATTCCTTTGACTTCTCTAGTTGAGGACAAGAAGCCAGATTACTGTGCAGCGTGTTGGGCCTTACCCAAACAGTCAGTCCTTTTAGCTTCCATTAGCGATGTCACTAGCCGCAAGGTTAGCGTTTACAGCTCATTTAGCAAGCTAATTTCTCTGCCCTGCTGACAGACGTCCAGATTAATCAGACAAATTTAAGGGACTTCGGGAATGTGTATTTCTGAAAATGCTCATGCTAGCCTACAGTTTGATGAAGCAGCGCTAAAAGTTTAGCGACCTGTCCTCCCTCTGTCTGTGTTTTTGTCACCGTGTGAGTGGGTCATACATGTTGTTGCTGTGCCTCGCTCTCCGTTGTCTTGTTTGTGACGTCTCTGTTTCAACTAAAGCAGGTTTCTAGCATTCACATGCACAACATTGACTAGCCCTCGATAATTAACGTACTACTAATTATACAAACTAAATTCAGTATACACAGCATACAGCGTGTACAAATGAGCTGTAATCATGGTCTTAATTCAATTTGTGTGTTAGTTAGTTATCTAAATGCTTTTAGTAGTATTTGTTTGGCGCGTCTAATTGGTAATTAAATATGCCAACGTTTTCTAAATCTCTCAAGATGTTAATGAATTTCTTAATGCATTAATTGTTTTACCAAGGGCAATTAGTTTGACTGTTTTCACACACTATATATAAAGCATAACCCTGATTCTAACTATACATAACATATTAGTTTTAATCAATGTGATAAAACCAATTTTCAAACTCTAAAACTCACAAAGCTTGTCAAGAACATGTTCAGGTATTTCACTACAGAGAAGCAAATTAAAATAAGAGATAGGTCTTAAATTATATTACTTATTACTTCTTTATAAATGTAATATTATTAAGTATTTATTTATGATGGAAGTTTATATTTATTGTACTTGCACTGATCTTTAATTTCTGCTTCTTTCAAGTAAATATTTTATTTGTAATTATTTAAACTTAAACTTAACTTAAATTAATTAAATTGATCACTGTATAATTATGTAATTAACCATTGTAAAATTATTATAAAATAAGTGTTCTTTTTAAATGTATTAAAAACATTTGAATTATTATTATTATTATTATTATTATTATTATTTTACATTTAATATATATTAATTTTAGTGCTGTCAAATGATTCATCGTGATTAATCGCATCCAAGAAAAATTATTTGTTTACATAATATATGTGTGTGTGCTGTGTATATTTATTATGAATATATAAATACACATGCATGTAAGTATTTAAGAAAGATATGTTATGTGTATATATTAAATATATTTATATATATAATATATAAATTATATGAATATAAAATTTGGAGACTTAACTCCCTCCTTATTCGAATTGTGTTTTTATTTCAATTAGATGTTGGCAAATGTAGAAACCTAGAAATGTTCTCGACCGGTTTTGTGAGATTCCCTCACGATCTAGTCTCTAATATCATTAAACGTGCTCATAAAACGGCTTAAAGTCTGTGTGTAACGTGTCGTCCTGCAAAGGGGTCTTCCGCACTAAACTCTCTTGATTTCAGGGTGCGCGACTGCTGTGAACCCGACCCTAAAATGTGCTGTTTTGTTCTTCCTTTCTGCTTCTTTTTCTGTGCGTTATCATTTCCAGAAGCGATTGGTAAGTGTCTCAGCGAGCGCGCAAGCTTCCTCGTGTCCCTGAAGCAGATGGCATTTTAACTTGGTTTTAAAATGCATGTCCTCCCCTCTCCTTTCCCTTGAACGTCTGTCTGTACCCTCCGTATTTCTTTCTTTTCTCCTCGCCCACTAACATGAAATGATTCCCTGTTTCTCTCGAGCTTTAGAGGATGACACACTGCAGAAAGTGTGTGTGTGTGTGTGTGTGTGTGTGGATTTACTAGTGCTCTCCGTTCACATGCAGCTCTCGAGCTCTCCGGAGAATCCACATATATTTAGATGCTTATAAAACAGAAGAAGAACAGATTAGGGTTTCAGAAGCTCCAGCCAGGTGGTTGCGCCGCTGACCAACCGGACTCACCCTCGCTCGGCTCCGTCACAATCAAGTATCGGTCATCTGAGCAGGAGCCGCTGGGGCCTTGGAGCCTCACGGCCCATCCTGAGATACTCAGAGCAAACACACATCCTCCTTACTGCATGTGCTCGACAGGTGAAGTCAACATGAAACGCCTTCAGAAGACAGTTTACTTCTGTAATGTAGGGCAGCGGTCGCTTTTGTTCATCAGGAATCCATTAGATTGTGAAAAGGGTTCACTTCCAGACCAAAAATTGACAGATAATGTACTCACCCCCTTGTCATCCAAGATGTTAATGTCTTTCTTTCTTCAGTCGTAAAGAAATTATGTTTTTTGAGGAAAACATTTGAGGATTTCTCTCCATATAGTAGACTTCTATGGTGCCCCCGAGTTTGAACTTCCAAAATGCAGTTTAAATGCAGCTTCAAACGGCTCTAAACAAACCCAGCCGAGGAAGAAGGGTCTTATCTAGCGAAACGATCGGTTATTTTCTAAAAACAAAATTACAATTTATACACTTTTAACCACAAATGCTCGTCTTGTCTAGCTCTGCGATGCGCATGCGTACTCTGTGCAGTCCCGTTCAAAACAGTTAGGGTATGTCGAAAAAAACTCCCATCTCATTTTCTCCTCCAACTTCAAAATCGCCCTACATCACTGTTTTACTGTTTTTTGTAAAGGGCATTCGGTACTTCTGCAGCGATGTAGGACGATTTTGGAGTTGGAGGAGAAAATGAGATGGGAGTTTTTCGACATACCCGAACTGTTTCGAACGGGACTGCACAGAGTACACATGCGCATTGCACAGCTACACAAGACGAGCTCAATTTTTGGTCTGGAAGTGAACTACTCCTTTAATTATAAGGCTATAATCTGTTTATGTAAAAAATTATATAACTATTCTTTTAAATATATTAAATACATAATGATAATAATTATTATTATTATTGTTCAAATATTTATGGAATATATTTAAAATAATAGTTGTATAATTTTTACATAAACAGATTTTATTACATAAATATTTGAACAACAACAACAATAATAATAATAATTATTATTATTATTATTATTGAATATATTTAAAAGAATAGTTGTTATTATTTTGTTATTAATAGATTTTAATCATATTATTAAAATATAATTTTAAGTAAAGTATATGAGTGTGTTAGAGGGAATATTTTTGCTAATTAATATTATTTTAATAATTGTGAAATAATTATTTATTTATAATCCCATATTATTTTGCTTATTATTGTTACAGTAAACACATTGTAGAGGCTTTTACATGTTTAAATGTAACATATATTTAATTACGCATTTAAGGCAATAATGTGAATGATAATAATTACAATATTATTATTATTATATTGTGTGTGTAATTATATTTTAGCACTATTAAAATATATTCTTTTAAGTAAATTAAAGTATATGTGTGTTAGATATATTTGTCTAAATATTTCTGCTAATTAATATTATTTATAATAATGATTGAATTATTATTATTTATAATGTAATATTATTTTGCTAATTAATATCAGCGTAAAACGCTATAGATGCTTTTACATATTTAAATTTAATATGTATTAAAATATATATTAACAATATTTTTAAATATTTGATATATATATATTTATTTTATATGTATTAAGTATAATTTCTATTAGTTTTACATTTGTTTTATATTATTTGTATATAACATAGATTTATTGAACTATTTTTCTGATCTCATATGTTTATTATTAGCACTATCCTGTAGCCTTTATGAGCTTGGGGTCTGTTAGCTGCTTTTAATAGGGTTTTGGACGTGCAGCTTAGACTAGTTGAAGTGTGTTTTTGTGCATCAAGGAGGTAAAAGCGTTGACGGGAGGGATTTACTCTGATGAGAAAAAGGCCTGTAGCTGAACCTCCTGCGTTCCAAAGAGAAACTGATCCAAAACCAGGGGCCCGGAGCCATGTTTCTTGAGAAGAAAACAAGATCTGGCATTCTTTTGAACAAGCCAAACGTCTCTGTCCTGATGCATGGATCCGGTCCTGCTGTAGGTAAAAAAAGAAAAAAAAAAGCTTCAAATGAAACAATAATATATAATAATATTACAGTATATATAAACAATTATTTAAAAAATTGATATACATACATTTAATAAATGTGTATGTTTTATATTATATTCAGATATCTAGTTAATAAAATTCACTTTAAAATTAACAATTATTTGTTCAATTGAATTTCTAATTGGATTTTATAAATATTAAATATTTGATTTCAATGTTATAATAAATTATCATTTAATTTATCATAAGCAAGTATTATTATTAAATTGTTTAA